AAGTTGCATTCAAAGTGTCTGCATTTACTGTAGGCAAACCCTACTCCTTCCTTAAATCCAGCCACTTCATGTTGAGCTAGAGTGTCTCCACACACAGTCTTAAGCGCCCCAAAAATGGTCTTCTCACCATTTGCAGTGACAACTTTAACACCATCATACAGCTCAATCAAGTCACAATTAATCCTCTCAAGCACCTTATCAATACCACAATCAGAAATATCTTTTGATTTTACCATGGCAAGCAGACGAATGGCAGAAAGTCTTGATCTGTATTTAGGGTCGATGTTACCTAAGATGTAATCATTCAATAACAATTTGTTTTTGTTTGCCCGAGATCCAAGAGGATTGCACAACACAATTTCATCTGTATATAAAATTAATTGCAATGCTGTCTGAACTCTCAAAAACAGTGGGTGTGATTTAAAAATGTCTCCATCAATTAAATCGTGAAAAAATCCATCCCGGCATGGCTGTGGCTCCTGTTCAATCATTGCAAGAACTCCTGGATGCATTAACAGCTGTTTCAAACTTTTCAACAATGGTGTATAATAAAAGTAATGGTGTTTAATGGTAAGTACTCTAGAGTCTCCACTTTTCACATACCGTATCTTTGGATATAATCGTCTCTGGTTCAACAGGTCTCTGGTGTAACAGTTCTTTGATTGTCTTATCCTGCAAATGTGTTGTAGAGATATGACTGAAAGGGTCATTAAACTGGTCAAATACTCCCATTACATCACTCTCCAGTTGACCAAAGTCCCCAGAATGTGTCTCAATCATGTTACTCATTTGATGTTTTAAGTGCTCCAGTAATGCTGCCTGGTATTGCTGGACTCCGGACACCATCTGGTTAACAGCTCTCTGTAGAAAAAACAAAACAAATATGCAAATAAACAAACAAATGACAAACGAATGAGAGAAATGTGAACAAGGCTGTAGTTGGAATTGAGGTTATAAATGGAATCATTTATGCTCATTTCCAGCTGTATCATTTTATTTTGAGACTCTACTAGAGATTCACAATTCCAAAGTATCCATATTTATACGGCCCTTGATGCAGCCCCTCATCCTCTGTCTGAAACAAGCCTTTTTTGGACGGACCTCAGCCACACTGTTCACATTAGTTTGGTTGCTCGTGGTTGTTCTCTCACGTGTTCCTGACGAGGCACGGCGCGTTGATCCTTCCTCCTCGGCCCCCTCCACTTGGAGAAGATGATGTACGTGTGTACGCTTTATGTAATAGTAATAGGAGTTATACACTCTATACTCACTAGGACAGCCATCGATGCCACACACCACGCGAAAGTCGGGGCTGCGACTGTGTAAAGAGTTGATGTGACTCAATAGGTTTTTCAGTGTCAACGCCACAAAAATGAAGCATATGAAACAACGCCAGATCATCTTGGAGGAGCAAGGTTCCTAAGGTTAAGGCGAGAGCAGCAAGCCAACACGTTATATCCAGCCCAAGAGAAATTACCGGTAGTTTATCACTTTTAAATGTGGGGTGTAAGCTCTTATTTAGTTATCTTTACAGAATAATTCATCTGAAATGGGCAACAATTTAGTCTAGCTATACACAATTGTAACACATATATACATAATAAATTCTTAAAAATACTAAAAAACTAGTTGTTTTTAAATTCATTTGAAAATTAATTACTGCCATAAACCCCTGTTTTGGAAATGGTAGCAGTCTTTGGCTCAGCAGTGGGCAGGCTGTCCCGCTATTTTACGTTAGCCCTCATTAAAGAGAGAGAGGACCCACTCCATGACTATTTCCGTCTCTGAAAAACTACGTGTTTTATTCAGAATCTAAGTGAGCATAATACATTCACCCGTTCTTTAAAGGAGTGAGACCTGAGAAGGAGATCACCTGTTTATCGTGTCTGTTGAAAGTTGGACATGCGCAGTATGGAACACACACGGCTCACTGGAGGGAACGTTACAGGTGCGTAATAAAGCTGCCTTGTCCGAGAAGGTTTGAATTTGTATTTCATTGCAGGTTAAGTTGCATCGAATATCTCGTGTTTTTTACTCGGATCAATTTTAAATATTATATTAAATATTATTTGTTGTGTACACTGTTGCAGCCGAGCACGAGCTCCCGTTAGCTAACTAACTTGCTAGCTAAAACCGCTAACAGCATGGACGAACTTGATGAAGTCACGGTGTCGACTTTAAGACTAGTCAAATATACATTTTTACCGTGGTTATTATTTTTACGTCATGATTATTATGCACCAGTAACACCAAGACAAATCCCCTGTAAGTAAAAACCTACTTGGCAATACTACTTGGCCTACTTGGCCAAGTAGTACTGAGTAATACTGATTCATCAGAGAGGTTAAGATCAACTAAGTTTAAACAGATTAGGACTTGCAGTCCTCTCTATAAAGACGATAACTCTTAATTCTGAACAGATTTGAATGAAATTGGTTTTATTATAAATTGGATACATTGAGCATTATACTAGTTACATGTTTCAATTAAATCCAGTTACTGGGGTGGATCTACTCTGCTCTATTATACTAAAACATTAACCTTCTGAATAGCCACAACCTAAAATGTTAATTATTTAGAATGTATGCTTTTATTAGTTCCTAAACAATGTAGATTGCTATATACATTCAGTATATTTGAATTAAAATTGCTTCAGAATTAAGAGAGTTACGACCGATTAAAATGTTTAATTCACCACTCTGATGTGATGCATAGTCCGCTGAGGTATGTCATTTCTACATCTATTGTTAATGCACTAACTAGTTGGTGCTAGCCAGCTGTCTCATACAGTTTGGCTGTTCTATGGCACTAATTCATCTCGCAATGTGTGCTTTACATTATGTCACAGCTGCAAACGTAAGTGTAGAAATGATCAGCTCTCTGTCTCGCGAAGACCCGCGGGACCTTTTCCCAGGCCCAGAGAACTTCTTGCGACGAAATGCGGTCTGGCGAATCTGTCATGGTGTTTCGGAAGAGGTCAGTTTCTCAATGATGCAGCATTAACTAACTAAGTGGTTTTGGAACAGACATGTTAGCCTATAGGTGTATTCAATTGTTCTATCATGTTTATTTACATTTTTTGTTGATGAAGTAAGTTTATTCATTTTCTGCTTGTTTAGTAATTATTTATATGTCACACCATAAGGTAATTACCAAACCTACCTTTATTATCACTAAAGGGAGAATATTAACACAAACTATTTATGATTATTGTTATATATTTAGTGGAGTGGTCAATGCGGCATCACATTTTGTGTTAACACAGTATAAATTAAAAGTTGCTTTTACAAATACTTAATTATCTTTTATTTTACAGGAAACTGTAGTCTCAAAATCAACAAGCAGTTTGTTACGCCCGTACAGCACCCCGTGAGGGGAGGGGAACATACACCGCGCTGCCCAGAACCCCAGACGGCCAGAGACCGGGTGTGGGCGCAAGTAATCACACCAACATCGATGGGTCTGGTTTAAACAGGCTAGCACGTGCCAGTTTATTAATAATAATAATAATAATAATAATAATAATAATAATAATAATAATAATAATAATAGAGGGAAATGGGAGGACGGCTGAGCTGATCCAAAACAAAGAAATCAGCAAAACCCCACCCCTTTCCTGTCCCAACGTCCTACACAAAACACTTATTTACTCTGGCGCTCGAGCAAGGCGCCCTAACCAAAAATACAGGGGGTGGATCGCTCAGATCTAACCTGGTGTGTATAACAGGAGATATCCCTACGGGTGATGTATGCCCAGGGCGTCTTTCCTAACACTCCCAAGTGCTTTCCGTTCTCCCTGGGAAGGACACACGAAATACAAATGATTAATACTTTCAATACTCCAAAAACACTCCACCATGTACAACCAATTTCACAAGAGCAAGAGCACCCCAAACACAACCTTACACCCGGCCTGAGAGAGAGATCCGGACTGAACAACCAGAAACACATAAATACAGCTGATGGGACGATGCGATTGGAGGATGGGAAAACAGGAACCAGCTGTAGGAGATCACGGGAGGGCGGATGAGTAATGAAGACAATTAGCTCCACCTGAGGAGGGTTATCACACACACAGAACACAGACAAGACCGGGGTCGTAACACGCCCACCACAAAAACAGCAAACCTCCAGTTTGCGACAAAACAACCAACCGTAACCCAGTACTTAAACACGCGATAGCTGGGGGCGCCGGGGCAGGGACTGAGGCCCAGCGGAAAGGGGAGGATCGCTGCGGCGGAGGCCCAGCGGAAAGGGGAGGATCGCTGCGGCGGAGGCCCAGCGGAAAGGGGAGGATCGCTGCGGCGGAGGCCCAGCGGAAAGGGGAGATCGCTGCGGCCCAGCGGGAAGGGGAGATCGCTGCGGCCCAGCGCGAAGGGGAGATCGCTGCGGCCCAGCGCGAAGGGGAGATCGCTGCGGCCCAGCGGGAAGGATCGCTGCGGCCCAGCGGGAAGGATCGCTGCGGCCCAGCGGGAAGGGGAGATCGCTGCGGCCCAGCGGGAAGGGGAGATCGCTGCGGCCCAGCGGGAAGGGGAGATCGCTGCGGCCCAGCGGGAAGGGGAGATCGCTGCGGCCCAGCGGGAAGGGGAGAGATCTCTGCGGCGACTGAGGGGACATCAACAAAACTGGAGATGGCTGAAGTAGCCATCATGTACACTATAACCGAACACACAACAAACTAAAGGTCATCCCATTCACAACCCCCACACCGTCCACCGACCGTGTGGACGAGGTACCAAATGGCTCCTCATCCACACCAGTCAATGGTTAGTCAGGGTCCAAGCAGCGGGGTGCACAGGATCCCGGACGAGCCCCCATTTGTTACGCCCAACCGTACACCCTGCCTGAGAGATCTGGACTGAACAACCAGAAACACATAAATACAGCTGATGGGACGATGCGATTGGAGGATGGGAAAACAGGAACCAGCTGTAGGAGATCACGGGAGTAAATTTGTAAATGTAATGTTGGAATTCACGTCTGGCATCTTCTGTGAATGGGTCACCCCTACCTCAGACATCCACTCCAGTAAAAAGATGTCCTGCAAAGCACACAACACCTGAAAAGGTTGTGAAGTTATCCTTCCCAGAATATGTATTGCACACTGACACCGAACTAGAGCAATGCCGAAAACAATATTGTGAGTTGGCGAAGACCGGTGAAGAGAGAAACTGCCAAATGTCAAAGGACCTCAGATGTCGGCTCATCCGAAACACCATGTCCAGTATGATCGCAATCCTGAGGGCAACGGGGGATGGAGACAGATACCCGTCAAAGCCAGAAATTACAGCTATGGCAAAGCGAATAGTGCTGCAGGACCGAGACCTGAGCAGCAAGAATGCATGGGTAGGTCAAATGCATCCAGGTGCATGTTTGTTATTTGTTTTATGTTTGAAGCATTTATTTGAATTTTTCTTGTCATAGGTTACTGTGTACTCACAGCTATACAAAAGATTGCAAAATGTGAGATCACCCCAAAAGACCAATCCAAAGAGGCGCCGACTTGAGGAGCCAAAGTGCCAACCTGAGCTGCTAAGTGACCCAGATGGATTTGAATCAAGTGACTCAACACTCATTCTGGATCCCCCCTCAAAAGGAGGTAGCATTCAAGACTGCCTTCTGAAGGAAGTAGCACCCCAGACTCAGGCAGCAATGCCAGACGTGAATTCCAACATTACATTTACAAATTTACTATTGTGTGGTGTTCATATTTTACACTTCTTTTGTTTGGAAAACTAATAAACTGGAAGACTCAAACTAATTGCTACCATATTCTTTCTAAAGTTACTAACTTCTATGAATTAATGCCATGTATTTAATTATGTATATTTCTGTCCTCCAGCTAAGATGCCCGCAGGCATTGACACTCCAGACACTGACAGTCCAGCAACCACAGGCAAGCACCCTAACTAGAACAGCTAAGAAGCCTGCAGACACTCCAGACTCAGACAGTCCAGCAACTATGGCCAAGCACTACAGAACCCTACAATCTTTGTGTAAGAAGAAAACTCCAAACCATGAGTCCTTCTCTCAGCTCCTGGACTTGGAATTTTCAGCCAGAAGAGCATTCATTGGCTCTGATTCTTTTCGCGAGGAGGACAGACACAAGAAAATTCTAGAGGCGTATCCTTGTTTCAAGGACATTGGACATGTAAGTCATTATTGACTGAGCATAATTCAAAACATGGCACCACACAAAACAATGTCTTGTATGCCAATTTCCGCCTCCTACCTAATGCAGTCAAATGTCTTTATTTGTATGTTGGATAGGTGATGGAGGAGCTTCAACGCATTCTGGACAAAAATAACATCCATTACATTGATGAGCTGAAGGGAAGATGGGAAAACTTCTGCCAGAAGGTGCAGTTTTTTGGTGTGTGGAAAAAGCTGCTGAAACCCCAATAGGAATGGACAAAGGTAAGCAATGATGTTTGATGTTATTAGGGTGGACGTTAGGCAAGTTTATGTGCTAGTGTCTGGTCTTCCTCCTTTTCATCTGTGTTGGCTATCCCATTATTTGTGTAACTTTTTTTGTATTTTAGCAGATGTTGTAAACTGTCAATCAGATTTGACCTTGTATTATCGAAGTGTAAAAGTAACACATATTATCCTCAACAGTTGAACAGGCTCTCAGTATCCTACGTGTGCTGCCTTCATTGTTCCCCTCTTCATCTGCTCCTCCGAAGAAGTTAGGACATGTGAGTGAGGCTCTAGTGCATTTCCTCGAGGTAAGCAAAAAATGAATGCACTACTTGGTTAATAGGTTTTATTGACTTAGTGAAGACCTAAAAAGACTGGCCTAGCCCAAAAAAATGTAAATACATTTCTATACAGTGTGTTAAGCAACACATTTTTTTACAGTAGACCCACAGACACATTTTGATATTCTTTATATCTGTGGTTCTAAAGCTTCTTAGACAGTGTACCACCTCAGTAAATATTGGACTCCACTAAAGTACTACTAAAATCACTGATGTAAAAGAAAAAATCCAGAGCCTCAGCTATGGTTTCCCATCACAGCACTTGAACGTGACTACATATCTGGTTTACTTAGCGCTTCCATTCCAATTGCTTCCATACCACTATAGGGAGCTCCTTTGTATGATTTCAGTCTTGTGGAAGGCTTGATTGTTTGTGAACAGGAAATGCATTGGGAAGAACCGACTTCAGCTGTAACTTAATATGTACTGCACCTTTCATTTTGCTTTAGAAGGTTATTTGATTGTAAGAAGGGCTTAGTTTGAAAAATATGGCAAGGCAAGGCAATTTTATTTGTATAGCACTTTTCATACACAAGGCAGACTCAAAGTGCTTCACATTATAACATTTCATACAATAAAGTGAAATAAAATGCAGGAATTAAAAGACAATTAAAAACAGCAAATAAAATTATAAATTAAAATCTTATTTAAATTGTTTAATTAAAAGCAGAGGTTAAAAGGGCAATGTAGGTAAAATTTAGCAGAAGGCGAAGCTGAACAAAAACGTTTTCAGTCTTGTTTTAAACGTGGTCAGAGTTGGGGCAAGTCTTAAATCTTCAGGAAGTTTATTCCAGCTGTTTGTTGCGTAGTAACTAAATTATGCTTTCCCATGATTTGTATTTACTCTGGGAATCACTAACAGATTGGTGTCAGAAGATCTTAGTGATCTTGAAGGCTTATGTAGTGGAAGCATATCAGTGATATACTTTGGCCCTAAACTATGTAGTGATTTATATGTGAGCCGTAGGATTTTGAAATTAATTCTCTGACATACTGTAAGCCAATGTAAGGATTTAAGAATTGGTGTAATGTGCTCACATTTTTTGGTCTTTGTTAGAACTCTAGCAGCAGCGTTCTGAACAAGCTGGAGCTGCCTGACAGTTTTTTTTGGAAGACCTGCAAGGAGACCATTACAATAGTCTAGCCTACTAGCTATAAAGGCATGTACAAGTGTTTCTAAGTCTTGAGGTGACTGAGCCCTCTAAGTCGTGCGACATTTTTGAGGTGGTAGTAGGCCGATTATGTTACTGATTTGATGTGACTCTCCAAGTGTAAATCTGAATCCATAATAACCCCCAGATTTTCTGGCCTTTATTTGATGTTTTCAGGGACAGAGAGTGAAGGTGTTGGGTTACTTTAAACCTTTCTTTTTTAGCACCAAATACAATGATCTCAGTTTTGTCTTCATTTAGTTGTAGGAAATTTTGACACATCCAGTCTTTGATTTGCTCAATGCACTGGCACGTTAGATCTATGGGGCGATAGTTGTTTGGTGATAGCGCTACATAGATTTGGGTGTCATCAGCGTAGCAATGGTGGTCAATTTTATTTCTTTGCATGATTTGTCCTAGTGGGAGGATGTAGATGTTGAATAAAGTCGGCCCTAAGATCGAACCTTGGGGGACTCCACACATTACGTCGGTTGTTTCTGATTCAAAGTCACCAATGGAAACAAAATAGTTCCTGTCTTGTAGATATGACCTGAACCAGCTTAAGACTGTGCCTGAGAGCCCCACCCAGTTTTCCAACCTGTCCAAAAGTATTGAGTGGTCGACAGTATCAAATGCAGCACTGAGGTCTAATAGCATTAATATTGAAGTTTTGCCAGAGTCTGTGTTAAGACGGATGTCATTTACAACTTTAATAAGGGCCGTCTCGGTGCTATGAAGAGGTCGAAATCCTGACTGGAAGTTGTCGTGGCAGCCAGTTGAAGCCAGGAAGTGATTAAGAGCACGGTCGTCCTCCAATCAGAAGGTTGTGGGTTCGATCCCAGGCCCGGCTAACCCGCATGTCGTTGTGTCCTTGGGCAAGACACTTAACCCAACGTTGCTCCTGTAGCTGCGACTACAGTGTGTGAATGGTAGTTACTGATGGCAGGTGTCACTGTGTATGGTTCTCCTGTCATCAGTGTATGAATGGGTGTGAATGGGTGAATGATGTCGTGTAGTGTTAAAGTGCTTTGAATGGTCAGAAGAAGAAGCTATACAAGTACAGGCCATTTACCATTAAGTTGTTGTAGGACAACTTTCTCAATTATTTTACTTATGAAAGGTAGATTTGAAATTGGTCTGTAGTTGTTGATAATAGAGGCATTTAGGCTCCGCTTTTTTAGGAGAGGTTTAATAACTGCGGTTTTGAAAGCTTTTTTGGAAATGGCCTGTCTGAATAGAGTTATTAACTATTTGCAATACGTCTGTTGCTAGGCAGTCAAAAACATTCTTAAAGAAGTTGGTAGGTAGAGCATCAAGATAGCAGGTGGATGGTTTTAAATTTGTCACCGTTTCCACTAGAGTTTGAGAGTCTATGGCATTAAAGCTTGTCATCATTGCTGTGTTACTTTTGCCTAAATAGGGTGGTGATCCAACATTTTTGTTTGAGATATTAATGGCGCGTCTGATGCCTTCAATTTTATCAGTATAAAAGAACGCAAACTCGTTGCATTTCTGTGTGGAATGGAGTTGAGGTGGTATTTGTGTCGGGGGGTTGGTCAGTCTGTCAACAGTTTCAAATAGGGTTTTTGCCTTATTAGTGTTGTTGTTGATGATGTTGGAGAAGAATGTTTCCCTAGCACTTTTTAAATCTAAATTTTAGGCCCGGAGGCGCTCTTTATAGATGTCATGGTGAATGTGAAGTTTTGTATTCCGCCAGATTCGTTCAGCCTTCCTGCACTCTCTTCTCTGGGCTGTTACAACAGTAGCTTTTCTCCAGGGTGCCTTTTGCTTACTAGAACTGGTTTTAACCGTAACAGGTGCAATGTCATCTATAACATTCAAAATTTTGGAATTAAAGTTGTCTACAAGATTATCAGCATGACATGGGATTAGAGGTGGTAACGAGGAGATGACATTTTTAAAGAGTACATTAGTATGTTAATTGATGTACCGTTTTTGACAGTATTTGAATCTGATTGTGTGTCCGGAATGAAAGAAATATTAAAGAAAACACAGAAGTGGTCAGACAATGAGGGATCAGTCACAAAAACATCCGAAACAATGAGACCTTTTGTGATAATCAGGTCCAGGGTGTGTCCCTTACAATGAGTAGCCTCTTTCACATGTTGAGACAGTTCAAATGTGTCTAAAATAGTCAAAAGTTCTTTTGCACCCTTGTCATTCAAATCGTCAGTATGAAAATTAAAGTCACCAGTTATAACTAGACAGTCAAAGTCGGTAGAGATGCTAGACAATAATTCTGTAAAATCATCGAAAAAATGTGCAGAATATTTAGGTGGCCTGTAAATAATTACCAGGAGAACTCTGGGAGAACCTTTCAATACAACACAAAGATATTCAAATGATGGAAAATCACTAAGTGACATCTGTTTCCCCTGAAATATATTTTTAAATATAGCAGCAACCCCTCCACCTCTTTTTCCAGATCTACATACATCAATAAAGTTATGGTTGGGGGGTGCTGCCTCAATCAGAATGCTTGCACTGTTATTTTGTTCTAGCCATGTTTTAGTTAAAAACATAAAATCAAGTTTAGAAGTGGTAATAAAATCATTGACTAAAAACGATTTGTTATTAAGAGACCTAACATTAAGCAGAGCCATCCTGATGGTGTTATTCACAGGCTTTGGGGTTGACTTGAGCTGGAGAGAAT